TGATATACATTTTGACGACGTTTAACAAATATCAAGGAAGGTTTGTTTTTTTTCCGATAAGGAATTTCTGGTTGGAAATCATAAATTTTGTTTTCAAACTTATTCAGAATAGTTATTTGTCTTGCCCAGTCACCGCTACATTTCATCTGATGTCGGACAAAAAATTGCAGATTCATTTAAAATGGGAAAAAAAAAATAAAATAAATTAGCCTTGTTTGGATTTGATGGAAGATAATATATAAGAAGACCGATTGGTGTGAAGCAAAATACCAAATTCTTACTCTGAAACACGGCGTAGGAAACATGATAGTCTGGGGATGGTTTTCGAGATTTAGAACAGGGCCAATAATTCACGTATTTGTTTCTCTAGAGCAGGGGTCTCCAAACTACGGCCCGCGGGCCACATCCGGCCCGCGGAGAGCTTGTATACTTGAAAGAAAAATCTACTAGAGATTAGATGTTGTTTATAGCAAATAAATTTAGTTTACTGAAGTAATCTATTTTTACGTTGAATATTAATTAATATGACATCTACATTGATATGGTCATGTGCTAACTACTCATAACATTGTTGTAGGTTATTATATACTAACCAACAAATTATTGAAATGAATTCAACCATGGCCCTTAGAATTTCTTGGCGTGATCAATATGGCCCTAAGGCTGAAAAGTTTGGAGACCCCTGCTCTAGATGTAGGTACGGATTGATTTTTCATTGTCATCGACTAGTGTGTTTAGTTGTCAAGTGGAACTTATCGCTTGATAACGGCTAGTGATACTTTCTGGAAGAAACGTCGTGTTAAATACATTTTTATTTGATTTTTTTTTAAATATGAATAATTGTTGAGCAAATATAGGGGAAATTCCAAAATCGAGCAAGGTCGCATTTGTCAAAATCTAGCATTTATTATTACGGTCGTAAACCAAACTTAAAGATGTCTGGTTTTTTCGGGTTAGTTGTGTAATGGGCTGCTCAATGACGTGTCGTCTGAAAAACAAAAAAAATGGGATTCACATGCGCTTTGTTTCGCAATAATGTAACGCATTAAACGCGATAGGATTTTTTCGAAATACACGCTTTATCGCGTACCGGGCTTCGAATTACTTGTCAACTCGCTTTGTTAGGTAATTTCGAGATAACGAATAATATCGCATTATCGCGAAAAGGAAAATACCCTCCGTTTTGACGTAGTCGCTAGGGTGTAAAATCGCACGGACCGTAAGTAAAGTCGAACACGTGTCGTAAAAAATACGCCGTTTATTTCGCGGCGTCCGCTACGCGCTAATTCTTAGATCAAAAACAATAATACGATAGATAAATAATAAAGATTTTGCCAAAACATTGCGTCGCATATCGCGCGTGTGTAGAACCTGCGCCGCGATTAATGCTTTTCCGGAAATTACGTAGACGCGGGATTTGTATATTTTACGTATTACGTGCACAGCAATATTGCCACGAACTCGATAAACCGAACGCTTAACGCTTATTATTTAAGTTATAAATACGTACTAGACAAGGAATTGCGCAAATTCGCCACTCTTCTACACGAAAACAAAATAATTCTATTGCGTAATAATATTAGTCAGCGCGTTCCGCGAATTTTGACCTCTCCTATTAGTTCGTTCGAAGTTCTCTATTTAGTTTCGTTTTGTTTCGGCGTAGTTGTTATAATCCGACAAAGCGACTTTCCTTCCTAGTTTTCGGGCGAAATTTGTTTTTGAAAAATGCATCATTACGTTGACCTCTGCGCGCTATTTTTATATGCTTACGTCTATAGAAATTGAGATACTCGACATAAAACTGTATCCATGCGACTTGTTTTTCAATATTTTATCACTGGAATAATAAAAAAACGCATTCAATGTCATTCATTCGTCGTCGTGGCCTGTAACAATTATAATGTCGAGATGGTGTTGACATAGGTTAGGGACCAAGCATCATGCGAAGCAGCAAAACATATTTTTACAGATATTAACGTTCGTCTTCATTGTGTCAAAGTGGAAGCGGGCCAGGGGTGGACTCGCGTCCTCGATTTTCCGCCCAGGGTCGTTATTCTTGAATTTTACGGAATAGAAATGAATGAAAATGAAAACCGAAAATGTGCTTATTTAAATTAACAAAAATTCTTGTTTAACCACGTGTTGGTGTGGTCAATAATATTTTTCTGTTACATACGAAATCATCAGATGTAGATTGTTATTGTATGGTATATTTGTTGTATTTATTTTATTAGAGTTGGTGTAGATACTAATTATTTCGGAACAGGTGCAATAATGAAATAAAATAGGGGTCCTGAAGCTATTAGATAATAAATACCGCTATAAAAATGCCGCATCCGGCCACTTTGGTAGTAGGATGGCGCAAAGTGTTTGGCAGGGCCTCTATTTCTCTTGCCGTTTGACTATAAAAACCACAGAATAAAATATTATGGGGGATGAAATACCAACGTTCAGTGGTGAAAAATTGGCATCATATAATTCTTGTTTCATTTCAAAGAATACAGAAATTTTTGGGGAATATAAATCCTAAAATACTGATAGTGTTATATATTTCTTTGCCTTTGCGAGATATCTATATAGCACTAACCGCACTGTTTAGGGGGTCATGTAAAATTTTTCTTTTTATCAAAAATATGGCCACTTATGATGAGTGTCGAATAAAAAATCGTCTTTTTAAAAATACGAGTTTCACATTTTGAAATAAAATTGTACCGCGAGTTTATTTAGTTTTTCTTCCGTCGCATTCAATTTTCCGGTTTTGAAAAACACTGCGTAATTGGTTTCGCGTCTCCGCCGCAGTATTTTAGTTTATTGTTTTCGTAGCCTACATACTTTTGCAGATAGCATGCCTAACAGAATTTCTAGAGGCCAATAAAACGTTCGGAGATAGTGCGCATACTTTCGCATTGCTTTCTCTGAACTCGATACGCCGTAACATGCGGATTTTGAGCGTAGAAAACTAGATTCGTTTTTCCGATAATTGTGCATCTGTTACGTCGATAATTGCCGTTCGATTTGGTGGTTCGGTTGGGACGCGTTTGCATTCAAAAGCCCCATTACGTACTTAAATAATATCTATTATATCACAATACGTACACCGCATCAGAGCACATAAATAAATTGCCTAAATATGCAAAAGATATTCGTACAAGGTGTCCCAGTTCAAAATAAGAAAGTTAGTGTCAATGTTCGGGAAACGGAAGTGGCAGCCGGGTCGACGGTTTTTATTCGGGTTTGGGACTCGAAATCGTTTTTCTTGCTTACCTACTGCGTTCGCGATCGCGACTTTAAATAGTGATTCATTGAATTAAAAGGAAAAACTTATTTCGACGTTGCCGTGAAAACAACTGACTCAACCCGATTGCATAATGTCTCGTAAAAATATTATCGTCCCGTGAAATGGAAAATTTAAAAACTCGTTCTTATTTTTTTTTTCTGGCAAGTAACCGTATTTATTATAAATTAAATATGGTCAGGACCAAACGTTCGGGACGGATTTAGTTGCGAGGATATTACCTCGGAACGCGTACCGTATGAGGTTACAAATACGGCGTGTGACATAATAAAAATGTATCTTTATACGACATTACAGAAGGCCACATCCGACCCGTTCGAAAAAAATATTTCCTAATATAATTTAATCACGGTTGATACATTCGGCTTCAAGGCTGCGGATTTTGAGAAATCCATTTGCGGCAATACCTGCTACGTTAGCGGAAACAACTCGGATCACGCTGAGGCCATTACTTGGAAACCTTGTCGGCTGAGGTCGCCTTGTTTGCACGGTACTTTTTTTAATAAAATAAAATCGGCTCCGCTTCTATTTTTGCGACACGCCAGACGTTCCGCTGGGAGGGTCGCCGTTTCACACCCAACGGCATATCCCGATTGTTATTGTTGTTCCTTAAACGCGCTTGCCAAAATGCCATCCCGATTGCGTCATAACAAAGACGATATTATATTTTACTAGCATCTTTAGATTTATTTCTCTTAAACTCTCCGTTAGAAGTGGTAAATGCGGGAGCTGTTTTTAGATCAGAAGCGAAACGTTTTCTAGAAACTTCTGGGAGAATGTCGGGCACATCCTTATACTTTCTCCGCACTAGGCGTTTCAAATCGCATCAAAATACAATGGATTCAAATCGGGTGAATTCGACGGCTGCACGAATTTGCGTCAATATAAACGGTTGACGTCAGCGTCTCGGGATTATATGGTAGTTTGTTGCATTTTTTGCATTGTTAATTCATGCGATGCACGCATAGAGTCGGGTAAAGAAATTCCCTAACACGCGTAAATTTAATACCGGAGACACCCGGACAAACAAAAATAAAATATGGCGCGATTACCTTTTATTTTATGAAAATATTTGGAGGCATTGTTAATGCGTCGCAAGATCGTCGCACTTCAAAAAAAAAAATGGCCGGCCTGTTAAATTCGTTCTGCAAATTTGGTTTGCAACCGGGTTCAACGCACCTTCGGTTTACTCGTTTTAACTGGCCCGAAATTAAAATCGAAATTATAAATTATAATTCGCTCCATTATTTTCGGAATAAATTTCCCGCCGATATTTAAAAACGTTGAGTTTTCTTTTGACATTGTTTTATAAATTCCCGATACATCGAGCAAATGTTTTCTGTAATTAATTTAATATAATTAATAATAATTTACTTGTGTCTGTTTATGAGCTTGGGAGTAGTAGATTTTTTTAAAACCCACTTAATTCATTAATTACGTTTTTATTTAAAATGTGGGTGATACTTAGCCCATTGTCCTTTTTTTTTTTTGATAATAAATACGAGATTCGTCCCGGATCGTCATTTACATTTTTTTTGGTGATCAAACTCGTTTTGTAGATAGACTTAAAGGTCTCCTTTGTTCTTTTGATAAGGAGAACTTTCCATGGAAATATATAAGTTCTCATCGATCGGTTAGTGGCGTTTTTTTGATGTCTTGTACAGGGGAAAAAACGGTGGAGAAGTCGCGGGTGTTCGAAACTTACCAGGATTTTGTGGGAACATTAATCCGTTGTCGGAATGGATGGTCGGCATGATAAAAGGTCCGGGACCGGAGGGCCGGAGATGGTGGTGCAGCGAAGCAATGGTTACGCCTTAAATCGTCACTACTCACATTCACAAACGCACCACAGTTTTGCGTTGGGGACGCGTGCAGGGGCGGGCAGCCGTACGCATTTAGATAAACAACGGGCACGAGCAGCAACAACCGCGTTCGTCGTCGTCGAGATGAAGAAATAAAATACCGAGTAGGTTTGCGAACCAAGCGATTGCGTTAATGAAACGATGTTAAGTGGAGTGCAACACAAGCGTGCCACCGAGAAACGGAGAGAAGCGGATCGCTCGCTTGCTTCGCTGCCAGCAAGTTCGCCAACGTCTGCTGTCAAGAGTCAAGTTGACGGTCGCGGACTATACACTAGCTACCAGCCAGCGAATAAAGGATGTAAAAGTATGAGATAGTGACCTACATGCTCGCGAAGTAGTGGCAGAAACGAAGAAAGCAAGTCGAACAGTACACGGGCCCGGAGAAAGGGATACCAGGAGGAAACGCGGCCATATAAGTAATACGTAGTAGTTACGTTAGATTACCACGACACATAATATGTTTGCGTCCTCAATTTCATATTATGTACCGGCCCGCCGTTGCTATATACTTTCTGCGGACCTACTTCTGCCCGTTTGCCGATTGCATTCTTGGATAAAAATGAAACCGGTCACTATCACGGTCTCTTTCGCTGTCAATGTCAACGTCGTTTCGCATCTGTTCCTTTCGGTACCGTTAAAACGATACATTTTCGAAATCGAACGATTAACAACGCGTCGTGAAGGGTTGCGACATACCTGCGTCGTTAACAATAACGAAAAAGCTTCCCAAAAAAATTTTTCAACGGTTTGCTTTTTCATTTTTCATATTTCTCAAAAATCGAAACGTTGTTAATTTTTTTTTCGGCTTTTATTTATTAATCGAAAGTTAGGCGATATGCAAAAATTAATACTAGCGGATCTACGCTGGTAAATTAAAAAGAAAAAAGAAAATTTTGTATTAGATATTAAGTGAATTTGTTATTATTAAATGTTTCGAGAACAAATAAAGCGACCATAATTTCAATAAAAAAAAACCGTGCACATTCTTTAATTGAAACACAGGGTTTTATTAATTTAATGCCGTTCCCCAAAAAGTTGTTTTTTTGCACCTTCTGTTAAATTTTCTTACGCTTCTTTCGAGGCCGTGATATTTCGCAATATATGCATATTGATGGAAAACGCTGAAATTGTTAGCATTTAAATTCATCGACATGCTGTGTAATATGTATTAAGTATGTAATAATAATTGATAAAAGGTATGAAAAGTGTTTAATTTTAAGTGTTAAATTATGACATCGTCGACATAATAATAATATAAGTTTTATTTTTTCACTTCGTATTTACATTTATCTATTCGCAGTAAACCAAAAGCACAGCGCAAAAAAAAGAACTGGGACACAATTTTAAAAAAGATCACAGCCCAGCCCAGCAGGCACAGTAACGGAAGGAAACATAATTATAATCTTTTTTTTAAACGGTTTTATCATTTTTATATATATATTTTTTCAGATTCGTATTTACTTCTATTATTGTATGCAAAAATGTTTTACAAAAATATGACTTATTGTTTTTAATATTTTGTAGCATTTAAGATGGCCTGACATCTTCTAGACATTGAATGAGAGTTTCTGTTTCAATGGTACTAAATGGTTTATGTTGATTTTTAACTTTGGAATGCAATCGGATACGGCGATTCAAGATATCCCAAAGATATTCAGCGGTGTTCAGATCTAGCGATTGGGATGACCATTCAAGTACAGTTATGTTTTTATCCTAAACCATTCTTTCACTAACTTGGTATTGAAATCGGTACATTTTACGATGTACTTGAATGATTGGCCCTCTTCCAGATCGAGAAAACATCCTCAGACAATTATGTTTCCTATACCATGGTTCAGAGAAGGAATTTGGTATTTTGCCTTGAATCTTGCATCCACCGGTCTTATATTGGCTGCCATCAGATTCAAGCAGATCGAGTTTCGATGTTCTTAAAATGATTTTATCGATTCTGGAAATAGTTTTGCGTCTTCCAGACTGGGACGCATTTCTCACATCACAACGACTTTCATATTTTTGTAAAATTTGGATTACAGCACTTTTAGAAATATTTAATGACCCATTACCAACTTTTTCCCCATTTAAAAAAAACACAATTATTTTGTCTAAAATCAGATGAAAAGCAACAGCGACTATTTTTGCATTGTAGAATCAAGACGGAATAATTTAGAACACAAATTTTAAAAAGTTTCCATACGTATTTGCAACCACAAATCTCTTATCGCAAAAAACAATAACAAACATTCCTTGACATTTGTTATACGTGATAAAAAAGTATATCATTGTGTCTCTTAATGTATGAAAATTAAAAAAAAAACTCTAGTTTACTTGTAGCATTAATAATGCGAACATTATTAAAAATTTCCATATTTTTTTCCACCACTGTAATTTTGATTTAACTGACTGTCCGTTAAATCGTTAAATCGGGATATTTGTTTGTTTCCTCTCTGGAATCGAATCCTTATTCTAAGGATTGAAAACGGCAAACGCTTAGATTATGTCTTTATAGAAAGATGCCTAAGGCACCTAAGGCAAGAGCCATTAAGACACCCTGTATACTTTATTATGGATGTATGCTTGAAACCGCGCAGCCCGAGCAAGAAAAAAAAAAGAAGTAGTATAGCCAATTCGAAACTTCATCCGACCGTGTGGCCTAGAAAAGCAGCGCTCGAATGGGGTTAACAGTTAACGGCGAGAGTCATCTTTCTTTCGTTACCAACGCGGAGTTTCTCTTATCCGTCATTTTTACGTTACCGAGATTATGGCACGACATGGCTTTGCGGACGCGCTTTGGTAACAGTTATTTGGCACTTTCCTTCTGATGCCGGATTATTACATTGTTTTTTATTGAATAACAATTGAATAATTCCAGATTCGTTATTTCTGCGAAATATTTCAATTTATCATAAACCCCGTAATAGATAAACAAAATTTTCGTGCCATTATGTGGATTATTTTGTGACTACGCGTAATTTCGGAACGTTAAAAATAACCCTTAAATTTACTTAAGAACGAGATTTGTATTCATCATATTCTAATATGTTAATTAGCAGCAAATCTGCGGGTTAATTCGAACACATTTTTTTATTTAACGCCACAAACAAAAGCGACGATAAAAATGCATCCTCATGCACGACAGACAATCCTTGGCATTTGGTTACCGGGAACCGCAGCTATTTATAAAAAATGTATTTATATCAATTTTTTGCAGTCCAGAGAGAAAACAAGTTTTAACATATTTCAATAGTTTGGGTTCAAACGACGAGCAAAATGCCTGTTTGGTTGAACTAATGACTCTTGTACCAGTTCGAAGAAGAAGACCTCGCCAAGCCGAGGAAGAAGCAAAATTTCACGATGCTTATTTTGCTTATAAAATAAAACCTAAATGTCAATTCACGGTTAAGTAAAAGCAAAATGGAATACCTACAGAAAAACTTAAAAGCTACAGTATAGTTTCACTATATGTCCAGAATCTTTAAAAGCTGTATGCAACCACATAAGTTCGTTTAAAACTCGACTATCTCATTATAGCTCGCGCAAATCTAAGAAAACATATTTGGCAGCAAGTTTGAGCATTAACAAAATTTTCAACTTGTGACGAATTCCAGGCAAAATTGAGAACACTAAATCCTGAAAGAGATGCTTCAGAAATTCGTAAATTAACAATTCAAAATGCTTCAAAATGCTGCTCGTAAAAATCCTTTGGACGACCAAAAAAAATATTTCATTGTAAAGGGTGACAACGAATGAGTATTATCTGAGACAATTTTCCATGCACAGGTTCAACATTCACGTGTTGCCTACAGGCTAATCCATTCTATGGACAACAAAGTACAAAACGTATTTTGCGATTCAGGTCAGGTCAAAATAAGAATTATGTAGTACATAAAACCAAATTTTTGGAATCAATCAGAATAACATTTCAGAATGCGACAAATATATGGAGAGAATTTAAAAACCCATTTGGTTAAATTTTTTTTATGACAAAAAGGGTCCCTTTCCTATACAGAACATTAAACAAATAGAATCTATTATCCAAGGCTTATCAAAACTTACTGCACCTGAGCAGTCAGAAATGTATTACCAGAAGAAAGTTTGCGTTTATAAGAAAAAAGTAATTATTGCTTATCCCACTTTTCCTAGATCTATTACCGACACCTGCGGAAAAATACAAAAAAAGGTCGTGCAACCAACAGTGGTGACTTTGGGACATTCCCTGTTTTTTTCGTTTTTTTTTCTGCACTTAAGAATATTTTTAATTTTTTTGAAGATTTTACTAAAATAAGTTTACGTACTTGGTAGAATGTACTTTGATTTCAGTAAATAAACATATATACTGTTTCACTGATGCCTAAACTAATGAGCCATAAATATTTTCTCAAATCAAACAAAACATGACATTATTTTTTTCCTTCACCCCTCAAATATTGTTTTCTTTTATGTTTGTAATTTTTATATTATATTTAAGAATTTCACTGCTTAGTAAAGCTTAAATAACTATAGGCGTGAGTTTATTGCTGCCAAGTTAGCATATTGCAACTTATTGATATCTTTGTATGGGGTCAACACGTGTAGAATAATCGCCGGGAAAAAAATCGCAAAGCAGATAATTTGTTTCTACATACCCGCATGGTCGCGAATTTGTGTATAACATCGCGCAACTCTCCGATATATCTTCTAATCCGTTTGTCTTGTGTTATACAATCTCGAAAAGGATGTTACGGACGAAAATGCGCTATGGCGGACACGGTCAAAACAAAAACAATAAACAAAGTCGTTAGTCCGGTTCTGCGATCCATGCCCAACACCAACATATTAACATTCCGTTTGACCTTGCGTTTCAGACAATGTTTCATATTATTTGTTAGCATTTTCGGTCGCCCATCATAAATAATAAGAGGTGCATCGACTTTTTTATCGACGTCGTCAAAATTAACCTTGATTCTGGTTACTGCATCGTCTAGGGTTCACGGCTGTTTTTTTTTTCAATGGACGTGGTGCTTTTTTTACCCTCCCGTTTCCGATCTCTACTACGGCGATCGTAATTTCCTTTCCTAAAAAGACTGCCCTCAGAAGAATAATACACTCATTTTACTTATCTTGGGATGGGATGGGTTACAAGAAATTGCGGAAAATTTTAAAAGGCAATGAATTTTGGACTAATTTTTTACATGATGAAAATCCATTTAAAACAAATTAAATTAGAACAAAAAATGTTCAGATTTTCACAGTTTTTAATGCTTTATGATAGCTGTTTAGGCAACACCGTACCTTTATCGAATACTGTTGGTATCGATGCGTAGATTATGTTGTTTTTGCTTGTTTCACTGGAACCGAAAGACAACTGCAGCCCTTTTTGAATCATATTAACTCTAACAATAATACATAATAACTCAAATCACCCTTACACACACAAAATGTCTGCCTTTTATGCTTTGATCAACAGACTACTTAATATACCACTTTGTACAGAAAGTTTTGAAAAAGAATTAAACATTATAAAACAAGTTGCTTTTAAAAATGGTTACGACCCCTCTTTGATAGATAAGATTATAACCAAAAAGCGAGCAAGGAAATTTCGAAACGTCTTTCCAAATTT